CAATATAGGAAACTACGTCCGCTAATATCTAATATATTAGAAAGCCAAACTTCAAAATTACAAATTATATAGGCTCTTCGTATTATTACCTATTCTAACGGTACTATAGCAAAATATTTCCTATAATTTTATTATGGGCTTACTTAAATTTTATAACCCTATATCTAATCGTATTTATAACAGCGTCCTAATTATTATCGACCGCTTTATTAAATTCGTATTCTATATCCTAACGTAAAAAATAATTACCGTATAATAATTCGTATACTTATTTTAGCAAATGATATTCCGGCCGTTTAAATTCCTAAATTCTATTATATTTAATAGAAAGAACCTTTTTACAAATAATTTTTAAAAAAACTTATTATAAATTATTAATTATTTGACGCTATTTAAATATTACTTAATACCTGTAAACGAATGGATAAACGGAATAATAAAATTAGAATTTAGAATTATATTTATAGATTTTTTATAATTTAGAATAGGTAAATTAGGCCGAAAAGTTAATAATAACGGAATAAATTTATAATAATTACTTTTATATTACTATTAGTAAATTATTATCCGAGCTACTCTATAATTATTACCTACGCAGTCTAATCGATCTAAATCGAGGTCGTAGAAACGTACTCCTTACGGCAGCTACCGAAAGGGTCGCGGAATTAATTAAGGGACGAGCCGCTATCGCTAAAGCGTTAGAGAAAGTTAATAAGGATTACGCGAAATAATATAATAAATTGTATAAACCTAAGGAATTTAAAATTGGTAATTAAATCCTCTTTAATACGAAGAACGTTAAATAATGAAAGCCTAATATTAAATTAATAAATAAACTCTTAGGGCCTTTCTAAATTATTAAAATTGTTAGCAAGAAGAAAATAGCCTACCGTTTTACCCTTTTAGAACGCTATCATATTTATTTAATATTCTGTATTACTTTATTAGAACTGTACTACGGCGATCCTAAAGTAGTAGTACCACAAAGAGAAGTAGTAAACGTTGAAGACGATTTCGTATAGTATAAAGTAGAAACGATTGTAAAATATCGAAGGTTGGGAGCGAATCGGTAATATTAAATAAAATAGAAAGGGTATTCGGATAATAATAACGAATAAGTATTATAAAAGTGTGATGGCATTTGTGGGATGCATCTGTTATTACAACTATATAAGACCACTTGAGCGACCGAATTGCCAGCTTCGGTTACTTGTACCCTTTTGTGGGGACACGGGCTGGTTAGTGTAGTGGTCTGCCAGCACCGTGACAAAAAGGATTTGAATTGTCCGGAATTATTAAAGGAGTATAAATTAAGGGAATTATAGAAGAAGAAAGCCGAAGGGGGCCTGGTAATTAGGTTAATAAAAGTAAACTAAATAGGTTAATAGGAAGAAGTTAAAACAATTAGCGATTATAATGTATTAATAATTATAGAGTATTAGTAATTACAATATATTTAGAGTATTGAACCATTATGACGTATAAAGTAGTACACGATTATAATATATAGAGTATTAGATAATGATAATATATAATGTATTAAATTAGAATTAAAAGAATTATATTGAATAATTATAATGTATAATATATGAGACTAAAATTAGGGGAATTATATTAAGAAGACGGGCGATAGCGTATAAATAGAAGGAAGAATAGTTACTTGAAGAACTATAGAGGATAACGAACTAGGAAATATAATAGCGCGCTGGTATCTAATCATCGATTATCTATTAGGCTAATATTCCTCTTCCTAAACGATAATATTACTAATAAAGTAAAACCAGAAAATTATAGAAGTAAAAGGCTAAGTATTATAATAACCGCCCAATCTAACCCTTAAATCCGAATCCAAATTATTTAAATCTTACCCTCGTCCATCATTGTATTATTAACTGCCAATACTAACGTATTCCTATCGTAGGGCTAAAGGGACGCCTCGATAGGCAATAAACGGCGAATATCGGCGTATACCGAATTTATAACCTAAAAAATATCCGCCAAACCGACCGCACCTACAAAAGCAATAGGAACTACTAAAAAAGCAGGAATTATAGCGTCGAATTATTTGCCGTGAAAAGTACGAATAATAGTAAGGGTAACCTAACTAATAGGGCGGCTATTAATAAAATAATAGAAATTATAACGCTCTATCTATTCGTAGAAGCGGCGGCTATAAAATTCGGAAGGTACTAGAAGAAAGATATAAAAGCGTTCGTAAAGAATATAAATTCTAATTACTAAAGTATTAACGGAATCGTGGAGGGTAATAATAAGGGTAAGCGCAATATTATCTATATCTCCCATATAACCAGCAATTACGTTCCTCTAGAACGTAACCACGCAATCGTAGAAGACCGGAAGGAAATTGTAAAAGCGCCGATTTAAAATCTTAGAATACACTAAATACGTATTATTACTTAGAAAAATAGTTTTATTAGCACTAATATTAATAGAAAAAGAATAGAAACTTAATAGACTTTATTAAGTATAAACGAAATAATTTACGGCTAAAACTATAATAATATTGGTAACGTTAGGGGGTAAATCGGTAATGGCACTCGCAACCTCCTAAAAAAAATATAAAGTAAATTATAAATAGTATTATTAAATAATTAATATAAAAAAAACAAAGCGGAGAAGAAAAGTATTTACTAAAATTAAGGGTAATCGGGCCTAATAAAAAGAGCTAAATCATAAAGGGTATACCAATCAGCAAGGCTTAAAAAGGTAGTTATAATAATAATATAAATAAGTATTTAAATTATACGAAAGAAGGAAGGAAAAAAGGAGGAGGAAAAGAAGGGAAGGAAGAAGGGTTCTTATAATTAGAATTAAGAATATAAAATAAGGTAGAATTAAAATAAATAATCGAAATATAAGAGTACGAACGTTAATAAAAAACTTTTAAATAAATTAATTCTAAATAATAAAATATAAGAAAAGTAGTAAAGGAAAGTAATAAAAGGGAATAAAGGAAAGGCGGAAAGGATGATTTAAAACGAAAAGATGATTAATAAGTATTGAAATAGTAATGGGGGAGGCAAAATATAATAAGATAGAGGGCGGTTAATCTAAACCTAGGATGGCGGCTAGTAAAAAATAGGGAAATAACGGACGGTAAGTAAAAAACGGTCGAAGCTAACGGAAAAATAGAATTAATAGGTATTAAATAATAGGTTAATATTAGTAGAGAAGTAAAGAAAAATAGAGAAAGTAACGTTTCAACGACGGTATATTCGGTTATAAAAATAAATTATAAAGGAATAGTAAAGAAAAATACTAGTAAAGAAGTTACCAACGGAGGGTATTTATAAATTTCTAAAATAAAAACCTAAAGGAGGAGGAATTATATCAAATCGCTAAAAACCTATTAAATATTAAACCTGTACTAATACCTAAGAGCGCTAATATCCGTATAATATAGCGCCGCAATATAGCGTCAGAACGGTTCGGAGCTGTCGTAGACTTAGCTACTACAAAATAGAACTTACAATGATATAAATAATTGGTCGAATTCGCCTCCAAAATTATTAGGGTTAACTATTAATACATCTTTAATCCTCCCCTTACCTTAACGTCCCTACGTACTTACGCTATCCGTAGGCACCTCAACCTACCTTCCTCCACAATTCTAACAATTAACGGGCGTTGGATTAGGGCGTGAGGAACTGTTGGCGGATTTTCGAGGTGTGCGAGGTATGGCGTAGTGGATAGGGGATGTAGTAACGAGAGGATAGTCCGATAGGGAGATAGAGGGAGACGATGAAATTAAGGGGGTTTGAGTGTAATTAAGATTGATTGTACGTAAAGATGGGTATAATTATCGATATTATTGACTTAAGTTTAGGAAGCAAGCAGTTGAGTGCAAATGGTTGGTGTATATTCAGAGTGTTGAACAGTGCGGGGAATTGGGCTGCATATAACTAAAAAAAAATATGCTGTTGAATAGATCTATATTGATTTGCCAGTAAAATAGCGGTGTGGGGAGGTACCCCCTATTTCGGGTACGAATTAATAGTCGTATACGAGTTAATGGTCCTGACTAGTGGCCCGCCCGCTAGTTAGAGGTCGATTTTGTAGACCTGACGAGTAAGGAACAAAGGGAAATACCCGGAAAGAACGTCGATACGCTGACGACAGTGTGCGGATGTATGTAAGTCATTCCGTGCCATTCCCCATTCCCTCTCTGCATCTCTGCGCCGCAAAACTCTACTACATACGCCGTACGGTAGTATCTAGCACGGTACTGTAGGATAGCTAGGTTCGCTAGGGTACCTGGGTACCTACGAAGGTGCCTGAAAGGGCTGAGAATGTAACTTGTAAGCGCGTTACAACCAATAGGAAGCATGATGATTGGTGTGCCCTTTCCCTTTCTGGTCGGTGATGGACAAGCCCCCCTCCTACAATGTTTTTCCTTGCCGTGGGTTGTGGGCGGTATTACTGTACACTCCGTGTACCGAAGACCGTGTAGGTGGTATGGATGTCTTCTTTGTTTGGAGTTGCACTGGTCGGCGAGGTTTGTGGCAGAGGTAAGCTGCATTGGGGTGCTTGGTATGGCTTGACCGTCTTGAGTGCGAGGCTGTGGGAAGGGGAGGGGTGGTGAGGTATGCACTGGACGATACATATAAGGGCTGGATGGAACCCTCAAAGAGATGGAATGTGTTTTTGGGAGAAAGTTGGATTTGTCAGGTTTCTGTTGTGTTTTGTTGTTTTTATTCGGGATATCGTGGATGCAGAATCTTGAGTTGCTTCATCACTTTACTACTACCATTCACATCGTTCAACAACTACAAACAACGATGGGTATCTCCAACCCATCCTCCGGGAACAGCACCGAAGTCGAGCGGAAGAATCCCATCGTCGAAGGCATTGACATCGAACAACATGCCGTTGCCGAATCCCATCCCGTCAACACCACGGTGAAGAACATCAGCTGGACGGGCGTCACGGTAACAGTCAAGGACAGAGAGACGAAGGAACCAAAGAACATTGTCGACAATGTGGAGGGTATCGTAGAAGCCGGTACGGTTTTCAGTTCCCTCTCCACCCACCTCACTCAATAGCCCATCCACTAACATCTGTTTTCTTCCCTTTCTCAGGCGAGATCCTAGCCCTAATGGGCCCCTCAGGCTGCGGAAAAACCACACTCCTCAACTTCCTCGCCTCCCGCCCGCTCCCTTCCTCCTCCGGCGGCGGCACCACCACCTCCGGCTCCGTGCTCATCAACGGCCAACCCACTCCCACCTCCACCTTCCGCGAGATCACCCGCTTCGTCGAAGGCATCGATATTGAATAATATGCCGTTGCCGAATCCCATCTTCTTAATACTATAATTAAAAATATTAGTTGGAAGGGCGTTACGGTAACGGTCAAAGATAGAGAGACTAAGGAACCGAAGAAGATTGTCGACAATGTGGAGGGCATCGTAGAAGCTGGTACGTTTTTCACTTGACTTCCTCTTGTTGAACCATACGGAGGAGGTGATCACTGGAGACGACGATGTGGTGGTGAATGTCTTGATTGATTGAAGAGAGAGCAAGAGAACAAAGGAAGAAGGAGGACAAAGTCCGACTTATATACAGGGTAGCCATGTGTGGATCGTATCCACTAATGCCAAGGAAGCCAAGACATGGTGATGGCTTCAACACTCCCCAATCCACTGACACTCTTCTTCCATCAGGCGAGATCCTAGCTCAAGCTAAAGAAGCCAAGAAAAGGAAAACAGAAAACCGTGGTACAAGAAGAAGCGTAAGAGGAATGGGGAAGGCAGGTCGCTGAGAATCCCTAATCTAATGTCGAAGTGAGGCTATCCTCACGTCGCGCTTAAGCTAAACCTGCGCGATCGTTTGCGTTTGCTCGACGACCTACCCTTCCTTTCTGCTAATTTTACAGCAAAATTTCACCTGTTTTCCGCAAGCTTGCTCCCGTCGCAAACCTTCCTCCCGCAACTTTCCCCCCACAACCTTCCTCCTGCAACCTTCATCTTGCAACGCTGCCGCTGGAAGACGACCTCGCCATTCTATCACCTCGCAACCTTCTCGTAATCGCGATAGCTTCCCAAACAGATCCCTCCCAAATCTTATGCCATTCTGCCCACTCCTCTCATTCGAAGCTCTGATGGCCAACTCAAAGAAAACGGCGCGCGGCAAACCGACCGCAGCCAAGCAGAAGACCGCCGAACCCATCGCGACAACCAAAGCAGTCGCACCAGCCGATCCCACCGCAACCACCGATCCTGACGCGACCACCGAGCCCGCCGCTCCGGCCAAGCCCGTCGTCGCTCCCGTCAACGCTGACGGCGAATATGAGGTAGTGGACGAGCTGAAGACGATCAAGGCGTATGCCGACGACCACAAGGGCATTCCCTCTCATTGGGATGTCAAAGCCATCGTCGCCGCTATCGGTCGCAGATAGAAGTATTCGATGCGCACAGTCAACGAGTACCCAGTAACCAGGCGCCTTGCTAATGTCCTAAAGAAGGCCGCTCGGATCAAGTTTAGGAAGGGGGATGGCGTTATGCTCAAAGATCAGTTGATGCCCTACTTTCCTGAGCCCAGCATCTGGGCGTCAATGGTCGTTTTCCAATATTGGTTCAGACGCGGAAAAACCCGATGCGCTTGAGTTGCTAACTAATTTCCCGACCGCCTGGGAAAAGTACGAGGAGGATTGGTGCTTGATATCCTACGTTATGGGCTTCAAGCCCGCGAAGGGATTAAGGCTTGCTAAGAATCCGTTTAACGATATGAAGTGGCGCGAGCAATTTATGGAACCTCCTATTAATATGCTCAAGGCTGTGAGGATCCCGGTTCTTAAGAAATCCTTTAACTTTGACGTCTTCCCTAGGAATGAGGTTTTTGCCGAACCCTTACCTCTTGACGAATGGTGGTATATTGAAGGACCTAAGTTTGTTTGGCATTGGGACGGAGTGAAAGCGACGAAGTCCTCTCGAGTTACTCGCTCGACCCCGACCGCAGTCAAAAAGGAGAAGGCAAGTGACGAAGTCATTAACACCAAGACCGGAGAGAACGAGAGCTCCAGCAACGTTGACGCCACCAAGCCTGCCGCATCGAAGGATGTCGCCATCAGCACCGAGACGGGAGAAAGCAAGAACACCATCAACGTTGATGTCACCAAGCCTGCCGCATCGAAAGATGTCGCCATCAAGACCGAGACTGGGAAGAGCAAGATTGACGTCACCAAGCCCGCCGGATTAAAAGATATTGCCGTCACCACCGGAACTGAGACCATCAACATTGACACCACCATTAGCGATCCAGTCGTCAAGCAGCAGGCGGATAAGCCGTTGATCACTATTCCCAACGACGTAATTGAGATTATAGACTCTGACTTGGAGTGGGAGCCTCCCGTCAATATTGCTGATGAGGTGGTTACTGTGGCTAGTATGAACAAACCTTTTTTCGACTTCGCGGCGGTCACCAAAAAGGAGATGAAGGACTATGTTGACGCGGCCATGGATGGATTGCCCAACGAGGACGATATCAATGCGGAGATCGAGAAGATTGGCAGAGGCATGAAGAAGCTTAAGCGTAAGTATCGCGAGATGGAGAAGAAGAACGAGGATTTGGAGGAGGAGTGCAAGGAGTTGAACGAGAAGCTGGGCGCGGCCTTGCAGAGGATCACGGAGTTGGAGGGGCGAGAGGCCAAGAGACAGAAGGTCGCGGACATGGAGCAGAAGGAGATTGAGGAGGAGCAGCCCGAGAAGAAGAGGCTTAAGGAGGAGGAGCTCGAGAAGAAGAGGCTTGAGGAACAGAGGCTCGAGGAGGAGAGACTTGAGGAGCAGAAGCTCGAGGACGCGAAGAAGCTTGAGGCCAAGGTTGTCGGCAGGAACCCCAATGCCTTCATCACTGATGAGGTCGCGCAGCGCATGGAGCGCCAGGAGAAACAGATCAACGTTGACGACGGACACTTGATAGTGAAGCACGGCCTGTACTCTTTCTTCTACGGAGATGGAGTTGTCGTGCGCTGGGTCGGCAAACCGAACAACGTTCGCAATGGAGTTTGGGTTCCGGCAAGGAAGGTCTGAGGTTTATCAATTGCGCATCTATAGCGCATCATGGAGGAGACTTTTTTTACACCCCGTTCATTCGGGCAATGTACGATAGGTAGATAGGCAGACGACGAGGACGTCGTCATTTTTCTTTCGAGAGGGGCATTGATGCAGGAAATTTACCGCGTGCTCAACAATCTCCGTTTTTATCAAATCATTTAACGTCAGCGCAAAACAATCCTTCCAGGTATAACAGAGTCTTTTTACCAGTTTAACCTTTCCCAGGGCATCAGCCCATTCCCCGATTATTATGCCGCATTATTCCCACCAGGAGTCAATGTTGTCCATGGGTTCGGCTGCCAATACGCGATTTTGCGGGGATTTCCAAATTTCAAAGATATTCCCCTTACTTTTCTGGTTCCCCATACATAACCCTGAGGTTACACCATGTACCTCCGAGCCAAAAGATGGGACGGGGATTTGGCTAGCAAATTGGGCTCTCATTTCGTCGCAACCTTCTTCCTCAGCAAGCAGGCCGTCCCGTGTACCCGCATCTTTTGTCCCAACCCTAAATTTTGCACTCTTCAAGCAAAGTTTCCCAAAGATTTAAGCTCCAGAGACTTTCAACAACAGGGCGTTATAATCGGCGATGTACATTCGAATTTGCTCAAAAACTTCTCCCGGCCAATCGTGTCTGTAAGTATCGGAAACCCCCAAAGCGTTCGAGGTTATAATATATCTAGCTAGGGTATTGCAATATCGTTTTGTCGTAGTTTCGTCGCTATCTAGGGTTGCTAAACCTCGCCGCTCGCAAAGCAAAGTCCGTCGGGGTGTCGGCTGTCGGCAATAGACTCTTGTTCGAGTGGTCCTCCAAGTTTGGTTTTACGATGTTTTCTAGTTTCCTGTTCTTTCTAACCTCTTCCAACACCTTAGTAAAGTATGTCTTAATAATTTTAGATTTGTGCTCAATTGATGCTAGTCGTCTTCGTTGGTAAGAAGCTTCTAGTGGATAACGAAGGAGGAACTCTCTCCAATCTGAGGTAAACTTTGTGTTGTTCGAATTGCCTTCGACGAACGGAGAACTTCATTGTTAGGGGAGTTCAAAGCGGATGCCTGCCCTGAATGACCCGCTCTGTTTTGGCACACGCTCATTTGAGCGTGGGACTGCTCAGATAAGTAGGATATACATGTACCATATAAGAGTACTCTCCCAGTTACCCTTCGTTAAGGTTAATTGGATTATTAATTTATATTATATTAACCTAACGTCTATCTTGCTTACACTCTGTGAAGTTGTGCGCGGGGTCCCAAGTTGAGGCTCTCAACAATGCTTAGGTATCCTGTGCTTTCTTTGACAACGCTGTCGTCAACCGTTACGCTCTGTTGCTCTGTCCATGTCAGGCCGCTAGGGGCCTGCCAGGCGTCGGGGCCGTACTAGTACCGTAGAGCACCGATGGGTAGGTAGTATAACGCCGTAATGTGGCGTTGGATTAGTTTGGAGCCGCTCCGGATTTAGTTACTATAAGATTGAGTCTATATTGTTATAAATAGTCGTTAAACTCGCCTCTAAATTTATTGGGTTTAGCTATTAATATATTTTTAATCCCTTTCTTATTTTGACGTTCTCTACGTATTTATACTATTTGTAGATACTTTAACTTTACCTTTTATTATATTCTTAATAAATTAATAGTTTTCTTTGTAGGAGTTAAATTGTTATTAATAGGATGTAAATACGTAGCGGACGATTTATTTTTCGGACTATTGAAGAAACCCCTCCCTTTATTTCCGGCGTATAAACGTTATTTATTACTCCTTTCGCTGTAGTTGCCGTCGATTCCTAATAACCCCCTCCCTCATTTTAATATTGTTAGCCGAATATTAAAGAAATAGATGACGATAATTCGGATAGCGATTATTCCTTTATTCCCTCTTACGTTTCTTACAACCTTCTTTATTATTTCGAAATTAATATTATAATATAGAAATAAAAATTCTTTGAATCCTGTATTTCTATTATTAAATTACTTATAATTTATCTCCAGCTATATATATTTCTTTAAAATTAATATAACTTTATAAATTTCTTGTAGTAAAATTAATTTAATAATTACTTTCCTATCCCCTTCGGGTTTTAATATTAAAATTACTTTTTTTATAATTAAATATACCTCCTTACCCTCCTTATCCCTATTATCGCTCTTTAAATTATAATATTAATTATTCTTATATTTACTTAACCGATTTAATTTATTACTTCCGGATATTACTTTAAATATAATATTTCTAAATTTATTAGCGAAAATTCTTCGTAATTACGTAATTTTATTTTTAATTTTAATAATTTTTATTACGAATACCCGTAAACGTCATTCGTATTTAGTATTAATTATATTAAAGGCAATTTAAAAAACGCTTAAATCAAATATATTATTACTTTTAAAAAGAAATCTAATTATAATCCCAATTACAATACCCTTACCTAGAAAAATTTATATACCTGTTTAAAACGGGAATTTAATAGAAATATTTAAATTATTAAGTACGTTACCTTTACTAATTTTAAAAGTATATATTAGGGCAATATCGAATCTATTTGAATATTTTATAATCGGTTCTATATAGAAGAATTTAATTTATCCTACGAATAGTTAGAATATTCGCGGGTTCTATAGTAAGCTAACTAATTACGTCCGTATTTGTATAATAGTATTTTATTTACGAATAGTATTAATATGCTAATTAAGGCGGTAATATATATAGAGCGTTTAAAAAGTTTAGAAACCTTTAAACCGTTAATATAGTGTTAATACTTTTAAATACCATATTCCTATTCGTTTTAAATTTCTCCTCTTCTTACTTCTACTTTAAACGTTATTATTATACTTATTTTTAATCTTATTAGTTCTTTTAATTTCTTTTATCCTTCCACTTATATTTTTATAAATCTTAACCTCCTTTATTTTTATTATAATTAAATTAAATATATATATAGTCGTTATTAAATTATAAAGTTGTATAGTATTTATTATGAATATATTAAGTTTAAGTATTCGGCGTTCGTTTATACCGAATGTATTTCTTTTAATTATGATAAATTGGGTTATATAGCGTATAATTGTTTCTTCCCTCTTAGCGCTCCTATTCGAAATATTAGTATTAAACTAATTACGCTAGTAAAGGTTACGGCAGCCTTAATTTAGGGATACGTAAGTATATTATAATTATATTCAAGTATAAAATTATTGGTAAAAATTTATAGAAATTAACGGAAAATTTAGGGCTTGATAGATTTTAGCGCGGAGTTAAACCTTATTAGAAGGTATCTACTCCCGTCGGACGCTAAAATAGAATTAGTAAATTACTGTCTTATCGATTTCTCTTTATAACCCGTTTTAATATATAATTCAATTACTTACTTTATTAAAATACGCGACTCCTATAATATTAAGCAGAAAAAAAAAAGGATTATATTTATAATTATTAATTCCTTTAATATAGACGTTATTTTTAGATATTTTTAGTTATACGAATATAATTCCGAAATCGATTAGTGTCGAAAGAAATTCCGTTTCCGGATTGAAGTATAAATTTGGAAGAGAGTAAAGAGCTAATTAAAAATATCTACGAAGCCGCGGTATACCTTTACGGCCTTTATTAGGATTCTATCCTTATATTAGACCCGAAAGAGATGTTAAAATCTTCAAGCGGTTTCGACCTCCTGCTATTCGCGAACGTTCCTTTCGAAATTCCCTTATCCTTATATATAAAGTTTTTAACCTTACCGGAAGCCCTGAAATTCCCCGATAGTTCTTCTAATATACCGATTCCTATATTCCTTAATATACCCCTGAATATACCCTTTAAAATTTTTAAGATTATATTAAATGGAATTTACCCGTTGTTAAAGCTTTTATTAGAATTAATATTTCCGGAGCCGGCTATCGCCGACCCTAAAATAGAAATAACTATAGCCGAACTATTAATTCCCCTAGAGTATAATAAATATTAATAAATATTCGAAACGTTAATTATACCTTTACTATAATTTAATTATTTAGAATATTATATCGATTTAATCGAAGGAGGGTCCGCTCCTTAGGGATTAATTTATACGTTTAATATTAAAAAATTAGAAGTATTCTAAGAATAATTAGCGGAAATATTAAATAAAGAATAAATTCGGCCGTTTATTAGCCTAGTAGGGGCTCCTATCATTTTTATTTTAAAAAAGGGAATTAAATTAAGGTTATACGTTGATTATTATTAGTTAAATAAGGTAACGAAGAAGAATTATACAGCGTTACCTCTTATTTAGGAGATTTTAGATCGGTTATTATTAATAAAAAAACTTTATAAAATTAGATTTAAAGGATATATATTACTGGATTCGAATTAGATAAAGAAATAAAAAGAAAACGGCGTTTTGTATCAAGTATAGGTATTATAAATTTTTAATTATATTAATAAAATTAATTAATATTCCCACTACTTTCTAGGCGTATATCAATAATATATTAACGGATTTAATTAATATTATTTATATTAATTACTTTAATAATATCTTAATTTATAATAAAAATAAGGAAGATTACTATAAATATATCAAAAAAATTCTCTAACGCTTATACGAACGTAACCTATATATTAATTTAAATAAATACGAATTCAATACGAAAAGGGTATCGTTTTTAAGTTACGTAGTTTCGCCCGAAAGTATTTCGATAAATTTAGAAAGGGTCGTAATAATTGCAAATTAAGAAGCCCCGAAAAATATTTACGATATTTAAATTTTTTTAAAGTTTATAGGGTTTTACCGGCGGTTTGTAATGTCCTACTCCAAAATTATAATTCCGTTAACGGATTTATTAAAGAAAGAGAAATAAAAATTATTTAAATTAATAGGATTAGTAAAGTTAGTATTTGAAAAATTGAAATAATTATTTTAAGAGGCGCTGATGTTGTAATATTTTAATCCCTCTTTATCGATCCAAATGGAAATAAATATATTGAATTTCATAATCGGTGTAATATTAATATAATTATATGAAATATATTAATACCCTATTATATTCTTTTTTTGAAAGAAATCCCCGGAGGGGATATAGTATAGTGTTAGTAATAGGGAATTATTAATAATTATAAGCATATTAAAAATGTAGAAATAACATTTATTATATATAAAAAAACATTTTTTTATTATTATAAATTATTTTAACTTCCAATACTTATAAAATAAGGATAGGATTAGTATAAAATAAAGTCAGTAAGTATTAGAATTGAAAGAATATGATTTTAATATTAATATTAAGCGGGGAAATTAAATTTAGCAGATAAATTATTGTGGAAATTATAATTGTATAAAATTATAAAAGTAATTAAGGAAGATTATTTTTTAATATAAATTATTAAAGAGAATGAAGAAAAAGGAAGAATGATATAAAAGGGTATAGTATAAAATAGGAATATAAAAAAAATATTATTAATTGGTCGAAAAATGTAGAAAATAGTAGTAGAACAAAAAGAATAGTACGAAGATAATAAAAAAAACAAATTGGTATAAGGATTAAATTAGGAGGATATTATTGAAGAGGGAGAGGATAAGGAATATAGCGTTGAAGAAAGTAAAAAATTAATTAAGGAGTATAGTAAATGGAGCGAAGATAAAGGGAGGCTGTAGAAAAAGATATAATTTATAAACGAAATTACTAAAAATTTTAGAAGAGGGGTAAATAAAGTCGTCGTTAAATATATAGGAATATATATAATAATTGTAAAGGTATAAAAAGAAAATAAACGATTACCGCTATTGAATTAATAATTAATAAAAGCGCAAAAGGAAAATTCTTTTATTTTAAAAGGAATATAGAAAAATTTAGGAAGAGGATAGAGAATAAAAAATTAAAAGATAAAGGAGGATAGAATATTATCTTATTGTTACTAAATTTATATATTAGAAAATATAAAGGCGGAATTCTTTTATACTTTTTATAATAATATTATAATAGAATATTTAAAATAATAGAAAACGTTAAAAAAAATTAATTAATATTATTATTAACCGATTATTATTACCAATGTAGAAAAATATATTTATAATTACCCAATATATTAAAAAATTAAATTTTAGAATTATAAATTATATAGATTCTTAATATTATTACTTATCCTAACAACACTATAGTAGGATATCTTTTGCAATTTTATTATAGACTTCCCGAAATCCTATAATTCCATATCCAATTAAATTTATAATATAATTTTAAGTATTGTTAACTATTTTACTAAATTCGCCTTCTATATCCCAATATAGAAGACGCTTATTATATAATAATTTATATACTTATTTTAGTAAATTGTATTTCGATTATTCGGACTCCTAAATTTTATTATCTTCGACTAGGGTAATTTCTTTACTAACTATTTCTAAAGAATTTATTACGAATTATTAAATATTTAACGCTATCTAAATATTATTTAACATCCCTAAACGAATAAATAAATAGAATGGTAAAATTAAAGCCTAAAATTCTATTTATAAATCTTTTATAACTTAAA